GAGCCAGCCGTTAGGTGCACGAAGAAAATGAGTTCTCCACGTGCTGCAAGAAAAGAGGAAAAGCAAGCTTTCCCGCCCGGCCCCGCTGCAGACGGGCTGGATTTCGCCCACATCTCCCCATAGCAGCCGCCGAGGGGCCGGGAGCTGCACGGCTGCGCATCCCCCCCAGGAATAACGGGGCCAGTGACCGGAGGGAGGCGGCTGGTCCCACACCCTGGGCGAGCAGAGCACAGCCGACACGCTGGACCATGGGGGCAGCTCACGGGAAGAAGGTAACAGGGCAGATGGGTTCAGGGCTGCCGGCACGGTGGCACGCTGGCGGAGAGGCACCGTCTGCTCACGTGGTGCTTGTTTTGCTCCGCGCGTGCTAAGGCGGCTGATGGAGCGAGGGATTAGAGGGAAGGGACCCGCTCCTGGGTGTCGGTGTCACTCGTCAGGGCTGGATTAAGTAATTCTACCTGATGGGCTCGGCATTGGGGCCTCCCGGGGCTTTCAGGACAGCGAGGAGGGGATCAGAGCATCGCATTAGGACAGGCAAAGTTTGGCTTTCCAGGGGGAAATGTCAGGCTTGCTCCGAGTGCGTCCGGCAGCCTGTGGGCTGTCTCCCATGGGTGCGGTGCAGAATGAGCCCCAAGTATTCCTGGGCCTGGAATCGCTGCCAGCTCCCTCCTGGGATGCGGAGGAGCTGGACCAGGTCCCACAGCACCCACGCGCGTCTCCCTCTCCTCCCAATCCCCCAGGAGAGCCGTCAGATTGCTCCGAAAGGAAACGGGGCTTTACAGAGCCAGAGCCACGTGGAGGCGGCTAGAGATGGTTGTGCTGAGGATGCCGTTAGATGTCATTTTGCTTTCATGTCTGATGACATCGGTGCCAAGAGATGCATCATCACTACTCAGTTGTGATGCCCTGATCTGGTGTTAGGTTCTGCAGCTTGTCTCCCAAATCTAAAAGAAACGCACTCATGCACCACGCTAGGTCAGTGACTCCTATTGCAGCGGGGACAGCAGTGTCCCTCTGCCCCAGGAGGGACCCCGCACGCTCAGTGAGCATGGTCTAAGGCCTTCAGAGGTGTGGGCACATCCAATCCAGGTGCCTTTCAGGAGTTTGCAAACCTGCTGGGCTTTTTTCCAAAACCAGAACTGGACAGTGTTGCGGGGAAACATGCATAAAAGCAACCCACTGGCCGGTGTTACCAACACCCATACGGGAAATTGGGGCTGACGTGGCACTAGTAAATATTTCTCTATTTTTTTCTGGATCTAAGAGAAGTGCCAGGGGCAGGAGGTGCTGCTCCCAGCTTCTCCGAGGTGCTGATGCCACACTGGCTCCAGCCCACTGGGGAGCCACGGCCATCACCAGGGCTCAGGGCTACCGTGGCACACCCAGAAGGAGCCACGCTCTGCCCACAGCTAATCCCCAGACCTTTGCTCACGTGGCTGTGACCTTCAGGCTGTGACACATTTGTACGGGCATTACTGAAAGCAGGGACATAAGCTGGTTAGGTCAGGCTTGGCCCAGTGCCACCCCCTTCAGCCCTGCTGCATTCAAAGCGATCTATGCTGGCCTCCTGACCACCAGACCAGATGGCTTTTGGACAGCTTTCCCCATCGCTCCCTCTATTCAAAACACCACGATCCCACCGCAGCCCAGCGCAGAATGGCCTGGCTTTGAATTGCTCCCGGGAGCTCGGGCTCTCCCATCGCACCAGCTTGCTGGCAGAGCCCCTAAAAGCTCTGAGACAGTTTTACTTCCATAGGCACCAAAAGGTCAGAGATTTTGCTCCTGTTTCAGCCTCCCAAACGCTGTCTGGGTTGACAAAAGCCTGTGCTGCTGCCCAGCTGGCACCGAGCAGGGACATCCAACTGGCAGCCCCTGCGCTGGTGATTCACCCTTGGGCTGAAGCTGATGGGGGATGGAATAAGAAAGCTCCTGCTGCTGTGTTTCCAGGGTGGGCATGAACAGCGGGCTCCAGCTCTCTGCAGGACCAGGTTGGGTCTGGGTGCCAGGCAGGAAAGTTCTCCTTCCCCCTCGCAGAACCGGCACAGCTCAGGGCACAGGGACCTGCCAGGCGTGACCCC